TTAGAGATTACAAATTATATGTCCGTTGCTCCTCCGTATAGAAATTTCTGGTTTCATACACTAAATGCCCTATCAAGGGAAGTCAGAAATGTAGTATCTTTCCAGCTTGCTGCTGATCTATAAGGTCTCCAAATCATTGAAGTGATTTCGGATTTAAAATTAAAATCTTTGAGTCTTCATAAAATTAGCCAAATATTCCTTTGAATGAATCCTGAATTATTTGATCTGTCAAGGTAAAATAAAGTTGCAATTTGCAGTTTATCTTTTCAACTTTTCCTTATGAAGGTGCTTTATTTTAAAAGAGTACTAGTTTTTTCTGAAATAGGGTAATAAAATAAATCGCTTAGTTTTTCAAACTTGGATTCAAACTACCATCCAATAAAGTTTGCAGAAAATCTCGCGTCAAGTGAAAGAATCATACGGCTTGATATGAGATGTCTTTTTTACGTAGGGAAAAGTTACACACTTAATGCGGATCCCTATGCTAATAATGTTCTCCATTAGGTGTAATTACGTTCTTTCGTTTAGGTGGGAACAGGAGATTTCGTTCTTTGTCATGAATGTTCTGCTTGCATCGAAAGTGTTGAGGAAAGGGGACTGCGCGAAGAATAAAGAGTTTGAACATAGAGAAATTATGGCAAGGGAAGTTATTAAAGCCTTATCGGAAAAGGAGCTAGAATTTGAGGAGAACGACACAGGCTTCGTATTAAGGAGAAAGCAAGTCGCATGATTTAGTGGTCTCAACTTTCTATACCTCATCAACCACTCATCACATTTGTCACTTTTTACCTGTTTGATCTTTTTGCAGTCTTTGGCTCTTGTAGGGCCTCTACTACAGTTTACTTGATCGTTTTCCTCCACTGTATTCTTATTATTTTAACCGCTATCTTCCATATGCTTCTGCAGGATGTCGTGAAACTACTGCTGGCAGACATCTTACGACATTCGCTCTTAAGTAATGGCCGTTACTACCCACCTGCGCTTTTTTCAATATATGTTTGCTAATTATTACACTTTAGACACTAAGACAAGTTTAAAATACCTGTTAATTCACTCGAACTTTTAAAAGTGGTCGCTTGTTTTGAGTTAGAATGAGTTAATCACAGAGTCACAGTCACTAAACAAACCAAATCGCATTTTTAAATTTCTGGTTGTTCGTTAATGAGAATTATTCAAACAAAATAAAGAAATTTACCTACAAAAGACCTAATTGTCTGCGGGCTCTCGAGCTCCCGAAGATGTGCAAGACACATCCGTGCATCTGAACTTCACCTGAAGTGTCTCGGCAGTCAAAAATAACGATTTTCGGCGTGCAGAACTACGGCTTAGACGCACTTCTTAAACATCTTCTAAAAGAACATGAATAGAATTCCAACTGAGAGCCTTTTAACAAGCCTGAGGCGTAGGCACACAAATACATCCAAGTTGCAAAATGAATTTCACTTCAGATTACCTCCGTGCAGTTGGTAACGGCAAAAAACGCAATTTATTTGTAAACGTAAACAATGACTAGGTCCAGTAAGAGATGATTGCTGAACAATTCTTTTTATGATGTCAAAAAACAAATATGACGAATGAATCAGCGAGGCAGCATCCACTATGCCAGATTTAAAATTAAAACGTGTTTTAAAAAACAACTCATCTTCATTTAATTGATGTTCATTAAACAAAGTGCACCATAGACAACAAATTCCTTTAACATACATACAGTAATATTGCTTCAGTGAACCAGATGTTTGAGTGCCTTCTAACCTAACCAAATAACATAAGTATGTTTTCGGACGCCTAGCAGTATTTCCGTACAGTTTAAAACTTTGTAAAACTTAGGAGAATACACAAGCGCAACACAAAAGATCAGGCCAACACCTTTAGAAAATTGATTTCTTTTTTTTTTTTTTTTT